GTTCATTGAACCACAATACCGACAAGTGATTAATAAAAGTCAAAAGACCAAAGAGGTCATCTTAATACCAAAAAAAATATATATATATAATCTTCTATTAGTTTAATATATATGTAATATTAATAGTCTTTGCTATAAATTTATATATAGATATCAATATTAAGTATTCTTTAATATATTATATATATAACATCAAGATAAGATTACTAATACAAATATTAAATAATTATATATATATATAGTATTTATTTATGCTAGCAGAAAATTGTTATATTAGATTTTTTTATATTTATGCTTTTTCTTTAATTGTTAAACATAATTTTTTCAACTTTTTCTCTTCTAACTAAGATATATGATTAGACTTTGCTAACAGTGATGCTGAAACTAAACATATTGAATTATGTAATTTAAAAAGTCATTTTAATGAAATAAAAGTAAAATTTTACTGAGTTTTAGTATTAAGTAATACATCTAAAGAACTTATATATGTTTTAATATTTTTATTATTTTCAATTATATTACTTTTGTATTGTGCTTTTCTTAATTATTATGTTTGTTTTAATAATTTAAAAAATAATTATAAATTTTTAATATGTTTATATATGTTTTTACATTGTTTTGAACTTTTATGTATAGACAGTTATGAGGTGTAAGCTGCATAAGGTTGTCTTTCTATAATTGGTAAAGAATTTTTAAAAAGAAAACTAATTTTATCATATTTGTACTATTACCTGTGATAATAGTAAGAATTTTATTATTAAGATTTTACTGTTAAATAACATAATACAACTCTTTACTAACAATTTTGCCAATATGTAGATAATTTAGAAAATTGCAAATAAGTAAAATCTTATAAAATTTAAAATCTGAATTGAGCCAAATAACTGTTATTTCAATATATCTGTAGTTGTTTTTAGCTGCCTAAAGGTTAGTCATAAAGTAAATCAAGGTACATATATTAGAAATCAAGTCAAATAATTTATCTATACTCCATGAATATATTTTATAAATTAATTTTTTAATTATTTTATCATATGGAATATGAAATCCAAACTCATAACTATAAACAAATTTATGAAAATCCTTATTTTAAAGAACATATAAAGGTAGTATAAATTTTATTATGAATTTAATTAAAAGATGTAACAATTCTTGTTGCTTACTTTTACTGCACTAGAGTAAAAATGTTTGACTTTCTTTTAGCTAAATTAAGAAGACTTGTTATTACTGTATTATTATAATAATAAAAAAATTAGATGTTGTATCATCATAAAATAACATTCGAAATGTTATTTCATAATGATAAATATATAAGTTCTTATTTTATTATTTGTATTTAAATATGTTCTAAAATTTTGTTTTGTTATACTGTATTTTTCCTGTAAATGGATGATCATGTTTGTAGTCATATCTTCTTTACAACTATAAGAATGAGATTTCTTATTTTTATTATTGAGATTTTTATATACAATACAATAAGCTATATCATTGTCTTCAAGGTCTCTATAAAAAAAATAAGAGGTATAACTTTTATTAATCCTATTACTTTGACTATTTTTGCTTTTATTTTTTTTATAACTTTTTATAGAATTTGAACTTGTAGATACCAAGGTTTTAGCTTCAGAGATAAAAGAATCTGACTCATTAATATCAAGATATGAAAAAGAAGCAGATGAAGAAACCATTTTGCATATAATTAAACTTGTTCGTTTGCTATGTTATTTATATAATTGAATTCATAAACTTTATTGGTTATTTAATAAACTTTCGCTCTTTGTAAAAAATAATATTGTAAAAAAATAAAATCTAAAATTAAGTTGAACAATTAATTTCCGCACGAATATTAGTTTTTACAATGATCTAATCATATGTAAAGCTAAGAACAGATTGAGCATAAAGTTCAACAATAAGTTAAAACTTAATTGCTTTCTATATAAACTTTAGCTTCTGCAAAGTACTGCAGGTGACAAGCTCAAAAATTAGTTTATTGCTTCCCATATAAATTTGGTTCTTACAGAAGACCAAAAATATTTTATAGTTAGTAAAGCCCAAGAATAAGTTAAAATTGATTGCCTTCCATATGAACCTTAGTTTCTGTAAGGGCGTAAAGCCTATTAATTAAAGAGATCTAATGCCAATCGTTGATATTAATATTATTTATTTTCAAAAATGAAAATCAATGTCGATATTGACAATGATTACTATTACGGATTCGGGTTAATTGGTTTTGAATCCGGATTTAAATCGAAACCGAAGGGAATCGGATTTAAATCCGAAGGTCAAATCCGGTTCCAAACTCCATCTCGACCGGTTGTAATCGGTTGACATAAAATAATTCGGTTCGGTTAACCGATTGAGTATATTTTTCGGTTCAATTCACTAGTTTAGATGTATCAAAAAAAACCCCGGATTTCGATCATACGATTGAAGTCTGGTTTTTAGTTGGCGTCATATAAATCGTTACGGTAAACCAGACCAAAAAAAAAATCTGACAAATGACAACTCGTACAGTGTATTTTTTATTTTTGAGGCTTGTATATATATGTATTGGGTATATATTTTATTTTACGTATTATTGATGCAATTAAATCTGCTTTGATTTTTTTAAACTCAATTTTGCAACTACTACAGAATTGCATTGAAATTTTGATGATTTTTTCGTTATTATTCAAATCAGATTTACTTTTAATAGAAACGTTTAAATTTTGAATCATCTCATTAAGACGATTTAAATGATTAAATAATTGTTAAGTTGATTTTAACATATTTCTATTAAAAGTAAATATTCTAAGAGTTTACTCATATAGTAAGAATCGTAAATATTCTTTTGAAACCTAATTGCATTAATTGGAGTACTCAGAATGTTGGGGTCACTTCAGATCATTTACTAATCCTTGCTTTTTTATGAAACCAAATTAGTATGCAAATTTTAGCCAATCAGTGCAACTCCATAAAAAAAATGTGTAATCTGCCTTCTTAACCGAAATGATATTCGATATAATTAAAATTTTCTCTCTTTAGTAATGATTTTATAGCGTGAATCATAAAATTGCATGAATAAATATAGATGCAATTTTATTAAACTTCGGATTGTGGGGCAAATCGAGGTTTAAAGTTAGTCTCATTAGACAATGTTTTCGGATTATAACGAACTATTGTACCTAGACGGAAAATTTTGCTATCCGAATTGTACTATCACTATGTCCGAATTAGGTGTACAAAGTCGATATATAAAGAGAACATTCTGCAGAATAATCCGTCATTTTAAACAAAATATCAACATTGTAAATTTTTTTTAGATGTGCGTGACAAATCGTGTAACTAATAATGTCGTCATTCATAAGATATCAAGATGTTAAAAAGCTTTTAAATGAAATCGAAATGTAGTCGATTAGCTGATCTACTATGTTGTAATGGGGAGCGATTTTTTACCGAATAACGCGTGTTCATTTCTTAGCCATGTTTCAAATCTTTTATAAAGGCACTCTGAGCTACACACACGCCTTAGCGTATTCCCGAAATACATCCGTTTACTCTGTAAGTTTTCTAAAACGCACATATATAAAACCTTTGAAGCTTAGTAGTATGTTTGCTTCCAGCCTTACAGGAAATAACATGCCAGGTGAGTTATCATAAGACAATGACTTATCCTTCGAGCAAAATGAGGAAATAAGCGATTTTTGCTCACGAATTCGCTTTGACTCATTCTTGCCAGGTTATTATGTCTTATTTTTCAATTGGTATGGTCTCTGAAACAGAATGATTTTTACCTTACCTGCCCATTAAAATATCTTTGTCCTTTGAACATGCTTTTTGATTTTAAACTCGTAGAAACCACGCATTCCAAGATACTTACTTTTGAAACAATAAATCCTCATATTAAGAAGGTTGAATATGCCGTTCGAGGTGAATTAGCAATCCGTGCCGAAGAAATTAAGGAAGAGATTGCCAAAAATGGTCCTGGTAAGTTCGGATTTGAAACTGTTGTGAATTGCAATATTGGCAATCCACAGCAGCTTTTTCAGCGATCGATTACCTTCTTCCGTCAGGTATTTATATTTATTATGGTTAAGTTGATTCGGCCTCTTTTTATTCTATTAAAGGGTTTCGATCCACGTTGGTTAGGTCGCCTGTTTGACGGAATACCCCGATCTTTTATTACCGGAAAATCGCAATAATGTAAACACGCTCTTTCCTTTGGATGCCATCGAGCGCGCCCAACTGTTGCTAAAACAAATTGGAAGTGTCGGTGCGTACTCTCATTCACAGGGTATCCCTTACATAAGAAGAAACGTCGCAAAATTCATAGAAGGTTGGTGATTCTATATACACTTAGTAAAATTTATCTAATTGTTAATCATTCAATTTCTTATATTTAGAACGTGATGGATACCCATCAAATCCGGATAACATTTTTCTTACACAAGGAGCCTCAGTGGGTGTGCAAAGTGTACTACAACTTATTATCGCACATTCCAATGTTGGCATTATGATACCTATTCCACAATACCCTCTTTATAGCGCTACATTATCGCTTTTTGATGCTAAACCAGTGCCTTATTACTTAGATGAAGATGAAAATTGGAGTTTGGATATTACTCAGTTGACTTCATCCCTTGCTACTGCACGTGACAAAGGATTGGATGTTCGTGCGCTAGTTATCATTAATCCTGGTAACCCAACTGGTCAATGTTTAACAGAGCAAAATATGCGCGAAATCATTGATTTTTGTCATCAACAACACCTCGTTCTTCTTGCTGATGAAGTGTATCAAACCAATATATATCAACCCGCTGAACGTCCTTTCCATTCCTTTAAAAAGGTGCTAAGATCTATGGGCAGTAAATATAACCAATTTGAATTGTTTTCTTTTCACTCGGTTTCAAAGGGTATGATAGGTGAATGTGGACGAAGAGGGGGTTACTATGAATGCACTGGTATCGACAAACAAGTTATCGATCAACTTTATAAGATCGCATCAATTGGCCTTTGCCCGAATGTTTCAGGACAAATTATGGTTGATTTGATGGTACGTCCACCTAAACGCGGTGATAAAAGTCACCCATTATATCAAAAAGAAATAAATAGAATATACGAGAGCTTACGAAGGCGAAGTCTTAAGTTAAGTAGCGTTTTCAATAGTATGGAAGGTGTTTCATGTAAGGATGCCCAGGTAAATTTTTATGTATGTTTATAATTTAAAAATCTTAGCATTTTAAACATTGTAATATATTTATATACCATGTGTTGAATAATCATAGGGATCCATGTATTTGTTCCCAAGAATTAACCTTCCACCAAAAGCAATCAAAGTTGCTAGAGAGGTCGGAAAACAACCCGATGAGTTTTATTGTTTAGCAATGCTTAACGCTACAGGCGTGTGTGTTGTGCCAGGTAGTGGGTTTCATCAAGAAGATGGTACATGGCATTTTCGTAGTACGTTCTTACCACCCGAAGAATTATTCGATGGGTTTTGTCAAAGATTGGAAAAGTTTCATAAAGAATTTCTAGCAAAATATAGAGATTGAAAATTTAAAATACGTAACTTATAATCCTGGTAATTATTAATAGTTTGTAAATTTTCACTATACATATATTTGCAATAGAACAAATCTGATGTTATTATATTAGATCGATAATAATTTTTATTTTATACTTGAAAGATTATATAGAAGATAATTTATATTTCCAACCTCAAACCTTCTTATAAATAAATGTTTTTAGATTAATGAATATGTACTTTACTTTTTTGTCACTTAACATTAAAATTGGGTTCGTATTACCATATTTATCAGCATAACGAGCTTTTATTGTGATTGGCCAGTCTTTGGAGATCATCATGTAATAATAGTCTTATTAAAGTAACGAATTTTTGGCCAGAGATTAAGACATAATATGTCACGTTCATTTAGAGTTGAGGTTAAACTAGTATTATACTGTATATAGATAAATTTGGTTTAGAATTTTTTATTAGTGTTCTGATGTGTTTTGCGTCTTTTATTTTTTTCGTACTGTAGTATATTTTTGCAAGATCTTGGATAATAGAATTCTGCTTGTACCGGAATGATGACAGTTGCTAGGTTTATATAAAGTATTTTTATCATTAATTTGGTAATTGGTTATGGGGCTTCCAGCCTATACTCAACGGTTACACGAAGTGTTTCGAAACTTTAAATAACTATAATTTTTTATCTAAGAGGTTTTAAAAAAATCCATCTGGTAACTTTATAAAGCTATATTAGCTTTATATATGTGCTAAATATCTTTTCAAAATCTCATCACTGTAAAGAGTTGATGCATTTTGAAAATTGAACTTTTATATGTAAATTTATAAATTTACATATAAATTTTCAATTTTAAAAACACATTAACATTATAGTGATGATATTTTGAAAAGATATATGGCATATATATAAAGCTAATATAGCTTTATAAAGTTACCAGATGGATTTTTTTAAAACCTCTTAGATAAAAAGTTATAGTTATTTAAAATTTTAAAACATTTCATATAACTGTTAAGTATAGGTTTTCAGTATTATATATTTTTGCAATGTTATGAGATGATTTACAAAAATTAGCCAATTATAATGAAAGCTTATTATGCTATATTAATCTGCAAATCAGTTACTGTGTAATAACAGGAGTAATTATAATTATTACACAAATCATTAACATCATATGTTGATTAATCAATTACAGTTATACTTATTAAACCTTTAAAAAATAATTATTATTTAAAAAAAAAAGATTTGCTATTTATCATATAAGGCAATTATTAGATGTATTATGTAATTATCAATTTATATGATCATTATTTTTATTTTATTTTTTTTTGGTATTAAGGTGATCTCTTTGGTCTTTTGATTTTTATTAATCACTTATCTGTGATTTAATGAACCACTACAGGAGAGCATATAATTGACTACATGTATAACTTTTCTATATTACTTAGTTAAGGAATCTACTCGAAGGTTTCTCACTAATTACCATATCTAACACTCCTGCTTGGGTGTTTCACTTTAAACCTTCTGAACCTGTAACCTGTGTTAACATCACTGATCATCTCAGATGTCCAGATTATTGTTTTTAACTTTAGGACTAATTTATCCTTGAAGTAAACCTTTTAGAGCCTTCTGTACTCATTTTTACAGTTGATCTAGGTATTACTATGGCAGAACCAACACTTGCGGTTAAGGCTAACTATTAAACTGCTATGCCTTTGTAGAGTTTACTTAGATCTTAGCATCTACTTCATAGCATAACTCTAGTACTTTAGTATATTTCTGCCTTTTCACCTTCTCTTTTACCAAACTTCCAATTCAGATAGTCTATTTAGAACTACAACCAGTTCATCAGTATATTAGGTTGGCCCAATATTCTTTTCTTCTTGTTTGTTCTAATGGTCTAGTTGGTAGTACCTTTGAGACTTCTAACCTGAAGGTTCTTGTCTATTCAGCTACTAGGACCAGATACTAGATCTGGGTATTTGTTTTATCAGGCTAGTCTTTACAGTAGGGTCATCGAAGATCCAGCTATCTCTCTACTCGAATCTTTTCAAATGGACTTCTTGTTACTTAATTTCAACAGATTTACATGATTACAAGGACTTATTTAGTGTTTGCATTACCTAATTTGTCAGTTTGCATTTTTCTGTATAACTCCAACATTGCACAGATACCTCATGACCTGTCAGTCATGCTGGTACAATTACTATTACAGATATCCTAACCCAATCATTAATAACAGTTGCCATAATACGAATATTATATAGGTGATTATCTAAATTTTCATTGTTGATAAGATTTGAACAACCAACTTACTACTTGGAAAGTTGACAACCTGACCACTTCACTAGGTCGCCACATTCCTGATTTATATAATCATTATATTAATCAAATTTTAAAATTAAAATTAATATTAATAAGATTTTTTAAGGGTAAGGATGACATAGATCATTTTTACTAGTAATTTTATAACAAATCATATGATATCATATGATTTATATATAAAATATTGGTTACATTACACAAATTTTCTATATAAATCTTGTGTGACTTAGGAAATTTATAAGCTAATCCAGGCAAACTTAATAATATATAAAGTATTTTTTTTTAAATAAAATAAATTATAAAATTTTATCTAAATAATTAGAAGATATAGATTTATATATTATTAAATTTTGGTAACAATTAAATATAATACTGAAAAGTTTTATTAG